AGCGTTTTCGGCTCTGTGCGGAGCGTTTTCGGCTCTGTGCGGAGCGTTTTCGGCTCTGTGCGGTTCGTGTTCAGCAAGTCACCCCTGGACACGATGCTGATTAAAAGCACCACGTCACAGGAGCAGGGCAGCATTATTAGTTACAAGAAAAGGTCAACGAAGAGCTGGCAGCTGTCAGAGCCACCATGGCCGCTGATTAAAGGCCTGTCACACAGTGGCGGCGTCACCCCCGGCCGGTGAAACGAGCGTCTGAGGATGATGCCACCACTGCTGTGCCTCACTCTCGCCTACAGCCGCGGCTCCTTGACCAGCACCTCTGTCGGCAAACCCAGCTCCCAGACACACCATGGCTAACTCATGGATGACAGTCACATCTGCTTGGTTTGTCCTTGAAACATTAATGACAGTTTTCCTAACCTTCCCTCCTCGGCCGTGTCTATCGTGAAAGAGCAGACAGTTCTTCCTTTTCGTAAATATGAAATCATGCTTTGATATTTCCACAGTGAAAGCAAAATATGATTCAATAATTTACAGTGCATTTACATTGTGATATTTTGCATTTTATGCTAGATAATTCAGATTACTTAGCATGGCCCTTTGAGGGAGCTGTCAGCATGCCTTGGTTAGGGTCAGGGTTAACATGGTCCTGTGACGGTTAGAGTTAGCATGGTCCTATGACGTTCAGGATTAGCATTACCCTGTGAGGGTCAGGGTTAACATGGTCCTGTGAGGGTCAGAATTAACATGGTCCTATGAGGGTCAGGGTTAGCATGGTCCTGTGAGGGTCAGGATTAGCATGGTCCTGTGTGGGTCAGGGTTAGCATGGTCCTGTGAGGGTCAGGATTAGCATAACCCTGTGAGGGTCAGGGTTAGCATGGTCCTGTGAGGGTCAGGGTTAGCATGGTCCTGTGAGGGTCAGGGTTAGCATAACCCTGTGAAGGTCAGGGTTAGAGTGGTCCTCTGATGGTCAAGGTTAGCATGGCCCTGTGAGGGTCAGGGTTGACTTGCCCCTGTGTGGGTCAGGATTAGAGTGGTCCTCTGAGGGTCAGGGTTAGCATGGCCCTGTGAGGGTTAGGGTTAGCATGGTCCTGTGACGGTTAGGGTTAGCATGTCCTTGTGAGGGAGTCATTAGCATGCCCAGGTGAGGAAGCTGTCAGCATGCTCTGATGCGTGAGCTGTTAGCATTACACAGCCGTACCAAGCCAGCGAATGAACTCAGATAGACCTCAGGTTGACAGCAGCCCAGCTTCATGGTAGCTGCCCTTGCTTGAGGATGTGGTGACCTGAAGGTGAGTCCCTCTCATTCCAGCTCTCAGCAAAGGTCCAATGAGTCCACGCTATGTAAACAAAGCGTGCCTCGGGAACTTACCCCCGACTTCTCATCGAAAATCTTGATCCCACCGAAGGAAACGGTCAAGAAGACTTTCTGCTTATGTTCTCCTTTTGAGCGGGCGGCAGCAGCGATTCCCTGGGGGTGATTAAAGGAAAAGCAAGAGAGAAACATCATCACCTTATCCTGTTAATCTGTAGGCGTGGAGGTACCAGGTGAACTCTAACACAGTCAATATGCAGCCCGCGGTTTCTCTCTGCCACGGAACAGATGTCGTTGTCAATCATGATGGGCAGACAGATGAACCGCTGCTGACCAGTGTTAAATCCGCCCAGAGCACTACACCAGGTCTGCTTTTCAGATGGACATGGGCCTTGACTTCCAAGGGGCTGCCCCCCTACAACTACTGCTGCCACTGTTCCATACTAGTGTATCAAGCCATCTTGATCCAAGACACCCCTTTCATGTTAACATTGTGTACGATTACATAGCCTTTGAATTCCCATCCAAACACCATGACTGATTTCTACAAGCTGTCTGGTCTGAATCGAGTTTCTCTACCAAGCAAACTACCTACTTTTAGAGCTTGGAACAGGTAGATGAGAGGAGAAGTGAAACAGTTATCCGTTCCTATCAACTGGCAATCCCCTGCTCCTGGGAATTGATCGTACTAGCTTCAAAGGTCGATCAATGCCAATCCCAGACTCTCAGACAATGGGATGCGAATATCGATTGAACCATTTCTCTTGATGTGACCATACGTGGCAGGTGGGGGTGGTTCATTTGTGCTCCTCCTCTACCATCATGAGTCTTGGAATTTTGGATGGACACGATGGATGCTCTTACAAATTTCAGGTGGCATCTTGAATGTGAAAAGGGGTCAATCGAGTCTGCCCCCCCTCAGTCAACACAGATAGGTCAAGGATGCAGAGAAGACTGAGATTAGTAATAATAATTCCGAAACACTGGTTTACTGATTAGTAAAGGTTCTGTTGAATATGACTATGGATTTGCTGTCACGGTGACTGATGTAAACAGGCTTGATCAATCGTCTCCAGGACCCACAATCACAATTAAGCACCATGCAAATGCCCCTCATTCTGCAATCCCCTAGAGAGAGAACAGAGAGCATTGAGGTGGGCCCCCCCATTCCACAGACCTAGTCACGCCTCAGTTACTTATGGTGTGCCCATGGGATTTTTAAAAAAATGACTGGATCAGAGAAATAGCCAATCAGATTGTAGAGGAGGTGGGTCCAAGCAACTATAGGAGGCTGGACCAACCAATCAGATATCTTGGCCCCACCTCCTCTAGATGCTTGAATCCACCTCCTCTACAATCTGATTGGTCATCTCTCTGAACCAATCAATTTTTTGTTCTACCCTCAGAACATTTTTGTTTAAGTAAAACTCCCACTAGCTTATGATGTCTGCAGCTCTAATACCATTCCCTGACTCATGCTGGGAGATGCTCAACAGAAGCTCACCTTCATCTTCATCATGGAGTCTTGGCACAGCTTGTCCCCCCTCGCGGCCGTGACCTCGTCGATGCCAATCAGCTTGGCTTTGTAGCGCACTCCATCCCCCTTGAAGCGTTTAATCAGCCCGGCTTCGCTGCGATCCTGACCTGCGGATGCCGGGGGGTCATGTGTGTCAGGCCAGAGGTCACCCCCCTTACTCTGCAGCCAAAGCTGCGGTTAACAAGCTCCCGCACAATCGATACACGCAAGCCAGTCTCTGGCAGAAACAGTGCATTTGCATGGAGAAGAATCACTATAACAGACAGGTGATATTAGCAGAGCAGCTCATCAAACCAGCAGCAAAAAAGACACATTCAGCAAAAGTACAGTGCAGATCGATGTTTAAAATAAAAGCTTAATAAATTCACCCAGTCACTAACGCTGCTTTAAACTGACTGCCACTCACTCACCCTGCCTGCCTGATTGAATCTGATCAGTCGAAGTGAATTTTTCAAACATAAGGACCTGTCTGAGGCAGACAGCTCTGAGGCAACAAATCTTATGGCACAATCTTATAGGACATTGTAGCTTATGGTGTTCTCAGCCATAGGTCCTGAATGAGGAAAATCAAATAAACATTTATATGTAACATAACTAGAAGCCATATTTTAACAGACACCCCACCATTTTAATAAAGAAAGTAAAAAAGAATCTGTTCTCAACGTTTTCCTGCGTTGGAGCCATAAAGGTTAAGGACACGGGTATTAGTCATTTCGACAGGTTCAGCAAATAGCATTTAGCAGCCCCCAGTGGCTGTCAGAATGGGCAGTCTCTGTCCACTAATACTTTTTGATCTGCAATCTGCAGCCTCCCTCCTAATTCATGAGGCAATGGGATTACATATTTCTCAGACACTGGTCCAAGGGAATGGGAGGTCATGTGACTGAAAGGTCACGTGACCAACAGGCCACCGATGGTCCCAAAGCTGACAACGCAGCCCAGAGGTCGCAGAAAAACTCCCCTCTGATGATTCTGCACTTCAGTATTTATATCACGACAAAGAGGATTTTGGAGCATCTCAGCAATCAGACCATCTTGCACTGTATTAGGACAGTGAATCAGGGCACTGGTTCTCCAGATGTGTGACAGGGTCATGTAATAAAAACTGTAATAAGGTGACACTGCTGTGTCACTGAGGATCAAGGGCTGCGCTGATGATCGCATCCCCGGTTTAATGCACAATTAGTGGAGGCAAGACTTTACCAAATAAGGACAAGTACACTGAGGGAGGGAACTTTTAAGGTAGCGACGTAGAAATTGGATGGGAGGGGGGTTGAATAAATGGAAGGATGCACCGAAACAGAGAGGGATCTTTATACCGTTGCATTAGGACAACATTGCAGTTAATGCGACCTGCTGCTGTGCTGCCCGGCATCAATCTGGAGCCGAGTCATAGCGGGATGACAGCTGGCCGCTAGCTCAGGGCGCCACATGAAAGGAAGGCCCGCCCCCTCTCTCGTGGCGCATGGCCAGAGACTCCCAAGACACAGCCGTATCGAGCGGCACAGACATGGGCAGGGGCGTGCCAACCAGACGGGAAAGACAGGAAGCTACCTGGCAGCCAGAGTCCTCGATTAAACCGCCTATGCTAACCGTCATCCCCCAGGTCCACCACTGGTTCCTCCACCAGCCCCCGGTTCCTCCACCACCTCTCATCCCCTGGCTCCCCCGCCACACCGGTATTCCTCCTCGTGGAACTACAGCAACTAATCCAGAAGTGTACCAAGCTTCACCGGACTTCCAGTTTGGGGTTTCTTGGTCACAAAACCTCCTTCAGGACAGGAAGGGAAACAGGAAGACGTAAGAAGGAGCAACACAATCTGGAAGCCGACGTGACATGAGGCTGTTCAAATCAAATGCTCCTTCACCTACAAGCAAGATCTTCAAAAGGTTCAACCTGTCACACGATCCGGCACAGAATCATACGTGACCAGATGACCTCGGAAAGAGACGCCACAGGGGACGAAGGCTGTGAATATTGTGGAAAAACTACAGGAAAATGTGGATTTCACTCTGTAACAGAGTTCTGCGATGTTGATTGCTGGCAGTACATGTCAGATGTTTTCATACGCTCGCTCGAGGCAGGGCAGGGGGTGGGTGACATTACGAGTTTAGCATCCAGGCCCTCAGAAGCGTGATGCTGAGGGTATTACTCTCCCTGGTTGGTAGTCCGCTCACGAGCAGCTCTGAAAACCTCTGCAGACACTGCCTCACATCTTACCACTGTGCTGCCAAGACAGAGCGCTATTGAGGCGTAACCACCGGCACCTCTGATGGCATCCCAATGGCTAGTAAAGCCTGGGAGACTCTAAGCTAATTAGTGCCCCTTCCCAAGCAATCGTTATTCTGTAAGGGCCTGAAAGCAAGTTCGCGTGAAAGCAAAATACACAGAAATAAGTGCATTTCAATCAGTACATTACAACGTGGCAGCGGAAATGTGGGCAACGGCATCAGCTACACCATCAATAAGGTAAATACATAACATGCTCAACATCAGATAAAACGAAAAATGCCAAAATCCTCGTTGAAAAGCTTTCAGATTTATACCTCATGGAATCCTCATCAGCACAGAGACGGAGTCATAGAGGCCATCGGTGATTTGTTTTTGCTGCAAAACACACAAAAACAGCAATCTCACGCTCCTCTGGCTATAGGCATTTTATTTTCTTGTTTCCTGTTATAGGTCAGACCAACTGAGATCCTGCTAACATGATGTTTGCTGGATTAAGGGATTCTGGTCTCACGTGAAGTTAAACCTCTGACTCATTCAGAACGATCCAGAAAGACCTGGAAAGAGGAAGGTGGGGTATCTCTTTTCAGGTGTTTTTTTCTTTACCGAGAGGATACAGGAGAAAGGCAAAGCAGAGTAACGCAATCCCGCGCTCTCACGTCCCACGGCTCTGACAGCAGTGTCATTATGGGGAAATCGGCGAATGGCAAGACCCTCGGCAGGACAGTGCTGACAGCCTTCCACCACAGCGATGTGGTTCGGGGTGGGGAGGGCTATGGCAGCATGGCAACGGAACACAGCGCATGAAAGAAACCGAGTTAGGGTGGGGGGAGGGATTGTACAGCATCATGGTTACATAACGCAGTGCGTTAAACATGTTGTGTAGGAGGGCAGCATGGCGACGTAACACAGCACATTAAACATGTTGTGTTGGGGCAGCATGGCGACGTAACA